CAGCAGCCCTTCGAGGCAGGTGGCGACATTCTCTCCATAGGTGAAGAGAGCAAGGCAGGGGAAATTACCTTGCCAAGGTCACACAATAAATGGCAGAGTGAGGCTCCACCCTGAGAATGTAGCAGCAGAGCCTGTGTGTGTATTATGTTGCCTCTCAATGAGTCAGACTGTTTTCCCTCCAAATCCATGAGGCAATTCACAGAGAGAATGGGTAAAAGGAGTCATGAAATGGAAACCTGGGGGATGCACCGGTCATTCCTGCTTTGCGTCTGTGATGGGTGGAGAGGTTTTGGAGTGAATTATGTAAGTTTTGGGTCATTCATTCATCGTTCACTCGTTCATTCATAAAAAATTACTCTCAAGCTTCCTTCTTCATTCTCACTGGAAAGGGGTAGAGGTAAGGCATTAGAAAACAACCCCAGTTTTAGTGAGCACCTCATAGAATGCTCACATCCACCCTATGAATTAGGTGTTACTATCATCATTTTGTTGACAAGGAAATGGAAAATCTATCATAATAATAAAAGCATAATATGCAAATAGACCAAACGACCAAACAGCAGAACAACTGTCCAGACAACTGTCCGGATGACCTTCCAGACGACCACACTATGACACACACTGGCGCCATGTCATCCAAGGCGGGTGAGATGCGATTGGTCGGGAGGCCCTGCCATCGCCCCATGATCGCCTGCAGAGATGAGGCCCAGGCCACCCTCTGCAGGGCAATCAATGGGGGTGGTGGGGGTGGCTCCATGATCGATCGCCCCACAGAGGGAGGCCCAGGCCACTGGCCAGTGACGCTGTGGCGGGTATGTGGGGCCAGCCAGTGATCACCCTGCAGAGGGAGGCTTAGGCCAGCCAAGCAATCACACCCCATGCCTATCGCCCGTAGAGGGAGGCGACTGATGGCGGGGAGGAAAGGGGGACAGCGCCACACAGATGGTAAGCAGTGGCAGCGGCGGGGGCGGGGCCTGCTGCCAGCAGCTGGGGGAAGGAAAAGCCCCAATAGGCCCTGATTGCCGGTTAGGCCTAGGGACCCTACCCAAGGAGTCCCGGACTGTGAGAGGGGGCAGGTCAGCTGAGGGACACCCCCCCACCACCACCCCTGTGCACAAATTTCATGCACCAGGCCTCTAGTCTATCCTAAAACCTGTTTGTGGTCTCTAGGCCAGGTGTGCCTGACTCCAGTGTCCACACACTTCCTCCCGTGCCTGGAAGAAGAAGGGTTCGCAGATGTGGGCAGGGAGCCTGGCTTCTGACTGATGGTCAGGATCCATGTGCTCAATAGATGCATTTCATCATTGTGGTCTCAGGCGGTCAGTGGTGAAGCACTGGCAAGCAGCAGAGCTTACAAAAAAAAAACAAAAACCGGTTGTCTTTTGTCTAGTTTTTTATTTGAACATCAAATAGGTTGAGAAAATTGTTTACAGGTGCTTGAGCATCCCATGGATTCTTTTCTTTTTAAAAGTGCAAAAGAGGTTTACAAGTGTGTTTCATTAAACAAAGCAAAGCTGCAAACGAAACAGAATCACATCAGTAATAGAATGCATCAGCATAAGGGTGTATTAATCCATCCAACACAATTTGGCATTTGAGCCTTTCCCCATAAGACAAGAACTCTACACTGAAGAGTATGTAGTGCACAAAAAAAGCATTGTTTGTAAGTCATGAGAGAACATAAACTGGCATAATGTCACGTATGAATTCAAGTCTCTGTAACCAATGACCTCTCTGTGAATGCAAAGGGGTCCGTGTCTCAGGCACCTGCTCATGGGGCTTCATGCTGTCTCCAGGGTACACAGCTCTGTGGAAACACACTCAACATGGGTTTGGAACATGGCAGCATTTACACATATTAAAAGTTCAGGCACATTTGGATGCAAAAAAAAAAAGAATAGAAATTTTTCTTGAATATCTAAAAGACAGTGCAAAAATTGAAGTGCCATAATAGAGGCAGCAGTTACTTAGAAAACAATTGAAAATGACTTAGAAAGAGGCCACTCTTGCTTTAATCCAAAGGGAAAAGAAATGCAGTCAGAAACAGAGTCGTCAGACTAATGAGAGGATGGGTGTTTGGAGCCACAGTTGAATTCATTTGCTGCAGCAGAGGGTGATATGTTTTCGGGGAGTTCACCTAAGGAAGTGGGCAGTGTGATCTGGTCATCTACCCAACGCTTGCCTTCCTAACCTAGTGCATGACTCTCTCTGCCTTTACTAACCAGTTTCCCAAAGCAGATTTGCCTTGAATGTTAGACATGACGATGATCCAAGTGATCATCCCCAGTGTACGTGGTCCGTCTCAAGAGTTAGCGTGAGATTTGAAATAGGACAAGATTTGGAATGGGTTCCATGTAGGGTTACTCTAAACCAATAGCCTACGTCAATGGCCATTTCAATGTATCAGATGAGAACACGTGGACGCGACTGAAAGCAAATTCTCAGTAAGTCCCTTATCTGCTCAGCCCCCGAAAGGCATGGGATATTGGCATGGTTAAACATACGGGGTCAACAGGGAAATCTACTCACAGACTACACTTCCTTAGGGATTTTGCAACCCACATGGAATCTTCTCTTTGGATGAACTAGCCTCTCTGATTGTGCGTGACGGCATTACAGAATCGGGACCGCAAGCCGAGAGCTCGGCAGTGGCCAAAAGAAACACAGACCGCTGTCCGTGCCTCGGGCTGTACTGTGGGTGTCGCCTGCTCTTCCCTGGAACATGAGCTGTCATTTTAGCAATGGCTGTCAGATAGAGCTAGTTATTTGTGGTTTCCAGGGCAGAAGTCTGAACCCCAGTGCATGCCCCAGACAGCGGTATTGACCTGACTCACCATGCTTTCCAGATTCTTATCACTGTCTTTCCCATTCTCCAAATTCCTGAAGCCACTTGCCCACAGTACCCCCGGCCCAGGCCAATCATGTCTTTTAAACTCTGAACTGCCTCGTGGTGAGGGGATAACACAGCATGTTCCCTGCACCCGACAGCAACATTCGCCGCAAAGCCTCAGCTGCCCATTAGTGGCACTTCAAATGAGAATAAAAAGAGATTTCTAAAATTATTTGAGACTCCTGGGCTAACATTCCAGCCATCTGGTATTCTCTGCCCATTTCAAATGTGGTCGTACCTTAACATGATTACAAACGACATTCGATGAGTAATGTAAAACCCTCCACTGTAGTATTGTTTGGATTTAGCTGGTATTGTATCATCTATAGTCCTAATTTTTTTGTTTGTTTTTATTTTTTTAAAAGAAAATCTAAGTATAAACATTAAAAAGAACCCACTGACCCATTAGCTACAGTCCAAAAATATTACTACTAATAGTTTGGTAAAGCAAAATTAGCTGCCCTGAATAAATTTTCCTTTTCAGGCATAATCTCTGCTACATAAGATTGTCTATCATCCAATATCCAACAATAGGCATCTGGATTAGTGCTGTTTTGTCTACTGTGGATACAGAAGTTGATATGAAATGTGATCTTCATTTAAATGAATAATCACCAGGCCTTAGGCATCAATGACTACTTACAGAAAAACTGAATATGTTTGTTGGTTTTGCATGTTAACCCAGTCAAATCAAATCCAGAACAGAAGTACTACATTCAGTTGTCTGATAAACAAGCATTGCAATTTCAAAAATATATATATTATACTATATAAGGTGCTTATTAAACAAAACAATGAAGGAATTATGTACTAAACATATTCTTAATGATGACACATAAAACTGCCCCCAAATTTAGATGCACATGTATGGAAAAATCATTTTTTTTTCCTGTCCCTCCCTGGGTCCCAGTCCTTTGGCGACCACTGGCTGGGCCATTAGAAACGAGTGAAATCCACTCTGTGAAACAGGCATCCCCGGAGAAGCCCTGGGAGCTTGGCTGGGTTATTGGCCGACACATCACCTCCCAGTGGGGTTCTGATGACAGACAGGGAGGTCAACGCAAAAACCAAACTTGCTTTTCAGCTGAGAAGAGGAAACCCATAATTGCTCTCTGCAAGCAAGAGTCCTGGGGAAGGCTGCCCTTGGTTGGGGTAAGACTCTTTTTGCGTCTCTAGGTCAATAGGTTCCTGGGGCTCAATTCTCGTCTCACTCTCCTGGCTTGTGGAGTTTAATGAAATGAGCTCTCGGGGCAGTCCCCCCCTTCCCAGGCCCTTCTGTTTGGATGATCTCTTAGTAACCAAGGGCACGAGTAGTCTGAGCAAGCCCAGGCACCTGAATAGGGGGTGCTCCTCTCCTCGCCCACCCCCTATCACACCCTTGTGGCTTCAGAATGTGCTGGGCCAACTGTAGGGACGCAGCTGCCCCTGCTGCTGCTTCCAATCAGGGCCCTGCGGGAAGTAAAGAAAAGGAGGCCAGCCCCCCCCCTCCCCGAGTCCCAGGGCAGCCGCAGTGCAGTGGGGCAAGGCCACTCTGAGCCTCACAGTGCCACCCAGTGTCTACCCTGCTCTCCTCGCTGTGCTCTGGTGCTGACACTCGAGCACATGCACTCATGTAGCCCAGTGCCCCGGGGCTTACAGTGTCACCAGGGTGCCCACTCCTTTCAAGCGATTTTGGTCATCGGCTGGGCACTACACATGACTAGTTCCACCTTCCAAGTAAATTATACGCCAGGAAGAGCCCAGGAGGGCGCCCTCGGCGGTAAGAGTGGGGCCACAGCACAGCAGGTCCACAAGTCCTGCGGGGAGAGGGCTCTCTTTTATAAAGCAAAGAGGCAAAACCAAGAATGTGCCCCTCACCGGGGGCCCTGGAGGTGACTTAACTGGGATCAACTTGCTGTTTTCCACAGGCCCAGGGGAAGCCAGGCTTCACCGGGACCCGGACTGTACGTCGTGCTCTCGGGAGCCAATGGGAGAGCGCGCGGCCAATCGGAAGGTCAGTGTGTGACGCTGACAACCAGGGGGCCTCCCTTCCCTGCGGGCATCTTGTATTCCTATAGGGGAAGTGAACAGACAGTCACCGAACAGGCAGCTACAGCCAAGCAACAGAGCAGAAGCTTGAAGGTGATACTTTAATAAAAAGATACATGACTATAGGAATACAAGAGGATGCTAAAGAAACCCTCCATCTAGCTTTCTCCAAGTCGGCAGTTAAAGGAGCCACTTCCCTGTGGCTTAGATTCATTAAAAAGTGCTTCGCAGAAGCGCAGCATCCACTCCCCAGGCCTGGCTCTAGGTAAGTAGCTTCAGTGCACGCTCATCGGAGCCCCAGCTCGGAGGCCGAGTTCAGTCACGACCAGCTCCAGGAATCCTCGTGCTTAACAACGTAGCAAAGGGAGAAGGACAGCTCTCACCAAGAAGTTAGCCCTGGAATCCCTCTGGCTGTTCCCGAAAGAAGGCGTGCCACTAAGGACTGAGCAAGCAGACGAAAGGCCACTCAGGGTAGGAAGCCGTGGTGGTGGGTGCAAGCCGGAGTGTGTTCAGGAGCAGGATTTTGCTATGGTGGTGTATGACGTGGGGAGAACGCTGCGGGGATTCTCAGACACTCGGGGGGTGGGGAGCCCTCAGACCGTGTTGGGGAAACCCTCTGCCTCCCCACTGATGTAATATGTTGGCAGGGAATGTGGTAAAGTTGGGCCCGTGGTGGCCATCTGGCCCTGGTGCGGCTCCTCCATGGGGGCGGCCCCTCGGCTGGCCGGGGCGTGCAGGCGGTGGGCATCCAGCATCTCCAGCAGCAGGTCGTACAGGGGCACCACGTTCTTGCACTTCATGTTGTACAGATGCTCCATGCCTTTGTTACTGCAGGTGGAGGCGGGGGGGGTGGGGGCAGACAGAGAGAGGATGCGTCAGACCATCGCAAACCCCAGGCCCTGACACTCAGACAGCAACAGTGAACACTCCAAACACACATGCCCATCGTTCTTCCTATTTAAAGAGTCATTTTTGGGTTTGCTGTGCAGGTGGTCTCCTCCCACGGACTCGAATGAGGGTCTAATCCAGTGATGGCGAACCTTTTGAGCTCGGCGTGTCAGCATTTTGAAAAACCCTAACTTAACTCTGGTGCCGTGTCACATATAGAAATTTTTTGCTATTTGCAACCATAGTAAAACAAAGACTTATAGTTTTGATATTTATTTTATATATTTAAATGCCATTTAACAAAGAAAAATCAACCAAAAAAATGAGTTCGCGTGTCACCTCTGACACGCGCGTCATAGGTTCGCCATCACTGGCCGCAATACATCTCAACAGAGAACCGATGAGATGGATATACAGCCCAGCCGGAGGGACTTTTTTAAAATGTGGAAGACAGTGCAAGAAGGTCTCTTGCTTCAAACTTTCAAAGGGCTTTCCACTTAACTCAGAATAACATCTGCATGTCTTTCCATGCTCTACAAGGTGTAACTGAAGTGGCTGCCCCCACCTCTCAGCGCTCCTCCGCCTCTCTCCCCACCCTGGGTTCGTGCTGGCCGCTGAAGAAACTGAGCACTTTTCCTTCCAGACTCAGGGTGCCTGCACCTGTTGTCCTGCTGCCCCAAGTGCACGGCCCCAACCTTCCAATCCACCTCAGAAAGGCTACGGCCTCAGCCCCTGCAGCCCCAGCCACCCCCTGTGACGTTACTCTATGTTCCTACCTGAAATTCTTCTTTTTGTGTATGACTGCATTTATATTTATCCTTGACCCCCCATGCACACACACTCATCAACATACACACCGCAAGTTCCAGGAGGGGCAGCAGTTTGCCCATCCTATAGGCCTACAACTGTGCCGAGAACGTGGTAAATGTCCGGAAAGTAGGGAGTTGATGGACATAGGGAAATGCAGGTACCTAGCCTTTCTCCTTTACCACGCTCTCCTCTGTCCTCCACCAGCCCCACTCTGCTCTGTCTCCACCACGCTACCAGGAAAGAAATAGAACAGCTATTATCTATCTTGAAATTTTAAAAACACAGCATGAGTAGGCAGGACCTAGAGAATGTTCTAGAATATATTTGCATTTTTAGTAGGGGAAAGGTCAGCACCAGTTGGAGAGCTGCCCTGCCATGAAAACACTGCATCCAAGCTATTCGGGCCTTACAACACAACCACCGAAATCATGGGTTTAAGAGGCATCTGCTTGTTTTGTTGTTGTTGCTGTTTGTTTTCATTTAAAATGCCCTTAAAGTGAAATGTCCCCCGGCTCGTGCAACCTAATGAATCACATTTACAGTTAGATGAAATCTAGTGTCAAATTCTCTGAGTAAAAATATATGGCTGGGCCCAAGCTTAACAAAACAGAGTTCTGAGATTTGAATAGATTGTAACGAGGAACCAAAGTATTAGTGTGTGTGTGTGTGTGTGTGTGTGTGTGTGTGTGTGAGAGAGAGAGAGAGAGAGAGAGAGAGAGAGAGAATGCTCAAAGCTTTCAGCAGAATAGCAACTTCTCTCCACGTTTCACATAACTCAAAAAGCTCTGGAGAGCTCTCGCTGCTGTTCCCTCATCCATACCTTTCCAGCAACACCAGCCAAGGCCAGCACATTTAGTGCAGGTGTATCTGGTATTAATTAATTAGGTTTGCTAATGCTGAAAAGCTATCAATAGATTTGAAAATTCAGCAATTCCTACCAACAAATAAAAATCTTCATCTACACCACATGGTTGCTACAACACGTTTGAAATTCCTAGCTCAGACTGAAAACTAATACATTTCTTCAAGGAGAAGATAAGAAATTTAGTAGACGATTATGTTATTCTCATACATTCCCCCCTCCCCTCTTTGTAATATGCATCCAAGAAAACAGATGGCAAAGGTTTGGAAATGTGGATTCCAAATGCAGTCACCTACTCTACCTGGCCAAGGTGAGTCCTTCACCTGTGACACAGGGATTTGGGGGGAATTCCTGAAAACAGGGACTGCAATCACTGTCTTGCAAACTTTGTCAAGTGGAAGCTATTATTTGGAAATTTCAAATTCATAGGGTAGGGGAAATACTCAAGTAACTTTTTCTTTTATTTATTCACTTAGTAATAATGCTGTGAGCATATACGACGTATAAGACTTCATATAGGGCACTGTGGAGGATACAAAAAAGGAAAGATATATTTATTTTCTCAAGAAGCTAACACTTTGCAAAGTTGTCTCTGGGGAAGTGGCACCTGGGACTTTAATGGACAAACTTCTTGTCATTTGATGCAGTCTCAAGGTTCGAAAGCCCCTTAAAATTTAACTGTCCCTTTTCAGACACTCAGCCCTTCCCTCAGAGCCACTAAGAAAAGGAACCTCTTTCTCATTCCTAAGATTCTGCTGTGAGCCCAAGGTCACACATGGCTACCTGTCCCCCTCCTGTCATCACTTCACCTCATTTCTGTGGAGTGAAAAATGCACTACTTTCTTCATCTCTTCCCTGCAGGGTGAGGTTTTTGTTGTTTTGTTTGTTTGTTTGTTTTTCCATGAGAACAGTGTCCACTAAGCCTCTGGCCGCCAATTTACATATTTATTGCATAGTTACAACAGGCCAAGCCCTATGCTAGGTGGTATTGGATACACAGGGTACATAAAATGGATAGTGATAGCTGCCTCACAACATTACAGTCTAATGGAGAAGAAAGATAATACAATGTCCAATGACAACCAGGAAGAACAGATTAAGTCCCACCTAGACCTTAAGGGTCAGGAGATGCTTCCTACAAGGAGTGATATCTAAGAGATATCTAAGAGAGTTAGCATTCTCTTCGGAAATATGCACTCCCTGCACCATGTGTCCATGATCTTGACTTTGGGCTTCCTCATGTGACTTGCTTGGCCAATAGAATGTTAGTAGGTGTGACTTAATTAAAAGACTAACATGCACTTGTCCAACCTGACTGGCTTTCTTATGCCTCTGCCATTTCTAAGAAAATAATATGTCCAGCTAACCTGTGGGAACAGGAGGCTAAGGAACAGAGGAACCTGGCCAACCTGCAGGCCTGCAGCCTGAAGCCATCTCCCAGCTGTGCCCAGCCTCCATCAGCTGACTCACAGATGCGTGAGGGAGCCCAGCAGAGATAAACAGAGCTGCCCAGCCAATATGCAGCCTGAAGTAGACTCCCCCATGACTTACAGAACAGCTCTTTATGGATTCAGACTGTGAGAAAGCCCTACAAAGTGAAGTAGGGACTAGAGCATAAAAAAGTAACATACACAAAATAAAGAGATTTCTACTTTTATATAAAAGCAATGGGAAGCCATTTCATGGTTTTAAGTGAGGAAACGACATGACAAGATTTGCTATTAGGATGGTCACTCTCCATCATGGAGAATGAATTTGAACAGATCAAGATTGGAGACAGGGAGTATTAGGTGGTGGCTGGTGCAGAAACTCAGAAGGAAACGATGGTGGCTTGGACTAGGGTAATGGCAGTGGAGGTGACAAGAAGAGATTTGAGAGGGATGGAGGAGTCAACATTGACCCTCCATGAGGCAACTGGGCACAGAGTCTCTTGTTCAGGATTTCTAAGTGAAGTAC